AGAATCAAACTTCTATATGTTATATCTATCTATATATATATATATATATATATATATATATATCCAATAGTTGAATTTAAAGTTCTTAATGCATAGATCAAATCTATAATTTTTTAAAAATTTGAAAATCATTTGATACTTTGTTTCATTAATTCAAATCAACATATAAAATGATTTTACGATTATCCATCAATTTGAATTAATAAAACGAAGTATCAAATGATTTTCAAATTTTTAAAAAACTTGCATATTTGATCTATGCATTAAGAATTTTAAATTCAATCGTTGGATCGTTAATTAACTCCTAGAGTAACTCTATAAAGTTACTCCACATTTCAGTCCTTTATTCTCTTTTAATCTAACGGTATTTCTCAAATATGGCAAAATTTATTAGTCTCCTCTTTATTTATAGTAATTTTTCTTGATTGACATGAATTATTTTTTATAATTAGTCTTATCCTTTTTTGTTTACGCTTTTCCTTCTTCGTTTACACTCCTCTTTCTTTGCATATCAAAAAAGAAAAATAGAGCAAAGTTATCAAATTTTCTCATAAACATGAATGTGTCATCCCGCTACAACATTAAAAAATTAGAGCAATAGTGAATTCTAATTAACCGTAATAATTAACTACTTAGTTGGGTCCTACTATTGTGAAAAATCTTCTCTTAAGATGCTTTCTTTTTAACTAATGATTTATCGAGGGACATTTTGAGCCACTCTTAAATATGAAATTTTGAGAAAATTACTTAATTGTTGTAGAAAAAATTTTATGATTTTTTTTTCTTAACTTTTACCCGAGAAAATCATGAATAACCAAGTACAATTAAGCATTGTAGTTGTAGAATTTGAAGAGTAGATGCATTGAATGCGGTATATATTTCAAAATGAAAAGAATTATAAAACAATTGAGTTGCAAAATTACCTTTTGACAAAGAGAATAAATAAAGAAATTAACCGGGACCCAACAAAACAGTCAATTATCACGATTAATTAGAATTCGTTGATGCTCTAATTTTGTAATGTTGTAACAGGATCACAACTGTGAGAAAATTTGATTACTTTATTCTATTTTTCTTTTTTGATATGCGAAAAAGAGAAGCATAAGTAAAAATACACATAAATGAAAAGAATAAATTAATTATTGAGAATAATTTATAATAATCAAGAACAATTATCATAAATAAAGAGAGGGCTAATAAATTTTATCACATTGAGTAATATTTAGAATTGATTTTGTATTGTTAGATTAAAAGATAATAAAAGATTGAGATGTGAAGTAATTTTATAAAGTTACTCTAGGAGTCATTTGAATTTGATCTTCTTTATATATGTATATTTTAAAATTATGGTTATGCCGCTTCTCTTTTTTAATTAATACTCATATATCTTTTAATTAATTAGATACATATTTTATACTATTTTTCTCTTTTAATTAATATTTATTTCTTTCTCCTAACTAATTATAGTACATATTATTTGAAAAATTTATAATTAATATATTTTATCAAATTAAAAAATATACCTTAACTAGAGATATTTTAATTTTTAAAAAATAATATATAAAATAATATAAATTAAATTTTATATAAAACAACAAACAATTATTAAGTTGAATCCGGAGGCATTATAATTACTTTTTAATTAATTGACATTTACTCTATTCGTGTGTATTACTTATCTAATATCTATAATCAAAATACATTTTAATTGAATTATCCATGTGTAATAAATCCTACATAAATTCGCATCGATTAAATGGGTTGACCATGGTTTGGAGACATCATCAGATGTTCTTTCATCGTGTCTTTAATTAATTTTTTCATAATACGAAATAAAGTGTTATTATTTTTTTTCGTAAACTAAAACATTTAAATATATGTTGTATATTGGTTAGGACTATGCTACCTAAGATATATATATATATATATAGTGACGGATCCAGAAATTTTAGGTAGTGGGAACAATACTTACTCATATATTTATAGTATTAAAAATTTTACATATAATTTTAAAAATATAAATATATATCATAATTATTTTTATAATTTTTTATATTTACAATTATGATTAAGGATGGAAATAAATCGGGTAAGACTATATTATATTATAATTTAATAGATTTGAACCTAATTTTATTTAAAATTACATGTTTTTAATATGACTTATTTATCTGTCATAGATATTTTTTAAGTGTTTGGTTAGAACTACAATCTTAAAGACCTACTTTATAATAATTTAACACTAATAAAACCATAAAAATAAATATGTTAAATTTTATAAAAAAAAACAAATTTAATTTATTTATGATATAAAATGTTTTTAATATCTAATATAAATTTTTATATGATAATTTATTTTAAAATATATTTTATAATACAAATTCAAATTAGAATATAAATCTTCTAACCTTTCCTATTTTTATTTTTTAATCAACATATACAATCTTACAATCTTTATTATTTTGATCTTTTTAATCAACGTATACAATAAATAGAAAGTATAAAAGGTAAACATGCATAATGCAAATTTTATTTTATCAAAAATTATTTTTTTAACATATTACTTTATATAAGTGAACATTAATATATATATATATATATATATATATAT